TGTACATATTATCAATTCACCCTTTAAACCCAGCATCATCCAACTTTTTATATATGGTCCTGTACAAAGCCAGTTGTGTCTGCTAATAATAGCCTCTGATTGACTACTGATTAATACTGGAAAATGGCAAGAAATGTTTAATTTCATGCGGTTCTGGGAGATAGACTTATAATCAAGTTGCGAGGCCAATATGTGGTGCCAGTAATATAATAATAATCCTTGCATGTGATATCGTGCTTTTCACATCTTCTAGACGTCTTAAAGCGCTTCCCAGAATATAGTACGTAATTGACTGTATATTTTGTGGGCGAAACGTGGCAGCCAATTGCGCATAGCAGTGTTCCACAAACTGTCATTGATTGAGTGACCAAATTATTATTGTTTTTTTTCTTGAGGGATTATTATCAAGCATGTGGAGTATGGAAACTTGCCCAAGGTTTCGCCCTGCTGGGAATCGAACCCAGAACTCTTGCTTGCGAGGCGAGTGCTCTAACCACTGAGCTACAGGACTCTTATGTCACTTTTCCTTTGCTATTACTTTTGTGAATGGATCTGATGGAAGCGCAGTCCAGAGTAATTCTCTCTAGTTTTCCTTCCTCCTTTGGAAAATGCCAATCCTCCACACAGCAGTTCTGTAGCATGGCTAAGATTAGAAATGCAGATACATCCCATCACCTCATATTGGTGTGCTTTCTACTTCCATTCCACTGAACTACTGCGTTACCCTAACCTTTTGTTATTTAACTGCATCTCCTCCAGGAGGATTGGAAATGCTATGTCGGGAATCAAGAACTCCATCTTTTTGGTCTACGGTATTAGATTTCTGATGAGAACAGTCTTTCACTTCTACTTAGTTTCAGCTACTCTTGAATGCCAGGTCTGCTTTCTGTCTGGTCTCTGTGATGCATGAAGAGTCATACTTGGATTTCTTGCCCCACCCAGAATTGTCTGCTCACATCCCACAATCTCTTTTCTTAGATCCTTTAACTGATTTTCTTCCTTACTAATAACTGGATTTGCTAATCTTTCATCTTCTCAACTCTAACTCTTGATATTCCTTCAAGGACTCGGTTGTTTTGAGCAACTTCCTTATTAAACATTTAAACATCGTAAGGCCAGTTAAAGTTTGAACAGATGGTGTCTAGTGGAGCCATGAGCGGTGACTGTTCAAATGGATTTACAGCTTGGTTCAATTTTCCTGTAGTCCCATCAAGTGTGAGTCATGTGAATTGACACCTATATTTATTGTAAAGAATTCTACAGCCTTTCTAGTTGCATTGTAGCGTTCAATGTTTCATGCCCCAATTAGCTTTTTAGCTTTAACCCACTTGGAATTTTATTTCGTAAGATGAGTGCTTTTATATCCTGATCATCCTCTACATGGTTAAACTAATTTGGATCCATTCCAAGTCTGAATCCGAGTTAAAATCAACACGTATGTATTCCTAATATGCTTGAGTCCCTGCTAAGATCAATGTTTTCTTTGGAAAGAATCAAACTGATTTTACTAATTAAGATCGTACTGGAGGATTGGTACTTTTGCTTAATTTATTAGGATGATTTCTGAGAGCTTCTGTGGTCCTTTCTCCTTTGCTTTGATGAATTGTAGGGATAAAATCTGCAATAGGAAATAGTTGGCTCAGTTTTCAATAACTTGATCATCTCAGCGACTGCGGTAACTCCTGCTGTTGGTAACGTGTAGTTCTTTGGGTAACTGGTTTATCCCTGGAAGTATTAAGATTGAGACAATGCAGCACGAGCAACAGTCTGAGCGAATGCATTGCAAACGTTCAATTATCTGCGTCATGTACAATGTCTTATTTGTTGTGTCTGTATTATCTTTGCAGGGCTGCTGGAGTATGTCTGGCAAGGTGGTGATTGCAGTGCAGTCACAGCTGTTTCCTGCTGTAGACATTCTTGATTCAAATGTTAGATAGCCTCAGAATGTGAAACCTACACCTCAGTGTGGTTTGCATGGAGGAGGGGGGAGCAATGGGTGGGAGAAGAGACGAGTCCATTTTAAAGGAATGACCGAGCTGAAATGAGGTTGGTCAAGAATAATTCAGGAGAGGAGGAATGGGAATAGAAACGTTGTATCCATGTGTGACTGTCTGTGTGCGTGTGTGTGTATGTGTGTGTGTGTCTGGCTGTCTGTGTGTGTGTGTCTGTCTGTTGCAGATTTTTTTAAATGGAGCAGTTTCTTCAGTGATCTCTATTGGCAATATATTGTAATGAAAATTCTGGATTTCCTGTGTGCAGTCTAAGACTGTGCTTAAAATGTTACCAGCTAAACCAATGTTAATGGTTGCCTTAAGGAAAGAGAAGCCTCAGTTTACAAGATTTTCATGGAGCATGTTGAGTAGGAGAAGGTAGAGAGAGTGTTGGCAGGATTCTCGTGTGATTTTGCTTCATACACAATGACCGTGATTAAATGTTACAATTGAGTGAAAATGTATATAATCAGGAACTGCTTGGAGTGGCTTCTCTGTTTTGCCATAATTGAAAGAAACACAGTCCACGTTGACAATAACAGAATTAACTTTTTTTTTGCAAATTTGGCTCCCATTTGGCTTTTCAGTGTTTGTTTCTTTCTGTAAAAAGTGTCCAATGTTTATACATAATGAGGCCAAAATACTTGACAGTAAATACACTACGAGGATATATAGTGCTATAACTTGCACATTTTGGGAATGGGGGGAATTCAGATTGCATCCGTTTTAATCCAAACCAGTTTTAAGGCTGCTCTTTAACATAACCTGTAAACATTTGAATCGTGACATCACAACATAATATCTATTAAATTACATTCTATGCACACATGAGAATGGCAGATTAGTGGGAGAAGGAAAATGCTTTTTAAAAATAATTGCGTTTTACTGTCTAATGACTAATTTTTTGAAAAAAAAAGCTAATGATTTTATCCTGGAAATGGTTATGAGGTACTTCTGGCAATGAAGTAGTGTGTGTACACTGAACTTTGCAGTGGAGCTGTACGATTTGGATTTGCCATTTCCCCTCCAAACACCATTTGTTGATCTTTGACTTGCCATTTGGGACCGAAGGAATGCAAAGCAGAGTGAGTGGAGAGGATTGGCAATCTCACCAGTCTGGGTCCAGGCCACTAATCTCCTTGCCTCCTCAGCTGGAGATTTATGCATAGCATTGAAATGAAAGGTTGGATGGGGGTGAGGAAAAGAGAGAGAATCAAAAATAAGAACAAATGCATCAAAGGGAGCCGGGCCAGTGGTGGGGAATGTAAAATACATTGATTTATGTTCACTGGGGTGTGTTAAATATTGTACCACGCATTGTCAGCTTTTTCATTGGGCAAGCTACCGTATTTGGACTGTATTCTCTTCAGTCGGTTCATCTACTGAATCGTGTGTAGGATTTTTATAAAAAAACACTCAAGGATTTAATGAGGGTGACAGATGTTGAGCCAAAAACTCATTCTTGCGTGACCCTTAGGAGTACTTGTAGCTTTGTACATTTCAATTTGTTCTGCTTTGAAAAAGTTGACATACAATTGGGTTGGCCTTAAATAAAAGTGCAAATATTGCATCATTAATGGCTGCAATACTGTGAATGAATGTGTAAGAGGAATGTGGCTGACATGTGTACACTGTTTACTTCAACTAGCAGCTGCATGTCATTAAGTGTACAGAGAGCATATCATTGAAACAGTGCAGCTGATTATATATCAAAGCTTTTACAGGGTATTTTTTTGTGTGTGAACCTTAGAACCATTGCAAGATTTTCTTTAACCCTTTCCTTGCATAGTTCTTTTTGGGAAATGGATTCTATTTTTTTTCTAGGCTGGAATTAATTAACTTGTTTGTAACTTTTCAAACTGAGTGTTCATTTTTGAGAATTTTAAACGCTTTCCTCATCAGCATCAGGCAATCTCAGATCAGATGTACAATAACCAGATGCAGAGTGAGTTCTGTGCCTTAAAATCTATTCTCAGAGAAACAAAACATCCCCTGCTGCTCCTGTGCATGTTTTTCTGTTGCCTGGTTTGAAGGTCTGTTGGATGAGATTTCGAGTCCCGTGTTAATTTGTGCTGTGCGTGTGTCTGCTTGTTGCTGAGTCTGCCAAAAGGCTATTTTTATTTTATTCTCTCTCTTCCCTGTGCTGAGTGGCCTGGCTTGATGGCAGATTTGAGTTGGTAATTCACTGTGGGGGAAACCTGAGACTTGTTCTCAGCTTCCTAGTGGTGTGTATGGGGCTCCCAGTTTTCCCCACCACTGTAGCTGTTAGTATTGGCACCATAATTTCATTAACAGCATATACAGTAATATGTTTATGCTATGGCCTCTCGAACAATGGAAACACTCTGCATTTCCAAACTTGAGCTCCAGCTCACTCCAGAGTGAAGTGCCAGCAGTAATGGACTGAACAATCTAAGCCACCAAATTGAGAGACTCGTACAAAAAGTACTTTTGTTTGTGTGCAATTTTTTTTCTTAGAAGAATCTGGTATCAATACATTCAGTGCCAAGAATGGAGCTCACTGCAGGTTGACTTATTATGTCAATGGTAATTGAATGCATCGTACAATGAATCCCAAAACGACTTGAATTAAAGGAGGACATTTTGACATTTATTTAGTTTCTTATCTCTCCATTCTTGTGTTTCTTGAAGAAAAGTTTTTCCCATTGCTGCATCTTTGCTACCACTGCAGGATTTTAGAAACTTGCGTGTTGAAAGCAGGTTCCCATAAGTGAAAAGAGGAAATAGAGTTGGTTGCTGTCTCATCCCTGTATCTTGCCAACCTGGTCATTCCTTTATTTGTTGTGAAAGAGAGAGGGCGAGAGAGAGAAAATTGTTTTTCAGGTAAACGTGGATAAAGTTATTTGAGACTCTATTAAATGTTACTTGCAACTTGGGGAAAATCCAATATTCAGTCCAAGCTTGACTTAATTCTACCTTTTCCTTGTTATTAACTGTTCTATAGTTGAATGGACATTGTGACTTTTTGTGTGTGTTTTTGTCTAACAGGTAATGAATTGTGATGGCACCGGCAGACATGTCCTGGTTGAAGACAAGTTACCTCACATATTTGGTTTCACTCTTTTGGGTGACTACATTTACTGGACAGATTGGCAGCGACGGAGCATTGAGAGAGTCCAAAAGAGATCTGCTGAACGAGAGATCATCATCGACCAGCTCCCTGATTTGATGGGCCTAAAAGCCACAGGTGTCCATCGGATCTTGGGTAAACAATGCTGTCACTTACCAACCTTGCGCATTTATTTTTAAAGAGTTTTCACTTCTTATCTTATGTTCATACTATGCAAAAGGTATTTTACTAGAACTACGCTACGTGTTAGATCATTATGACGAAGAATGTCTCTCGTTAGCCCAGCAGTTAGTGTTTCATATGTACGGGCTCCAAATATCTACCTTCACCCAACTTCACAGTTTAAATAGCTTTTTTAAGGAAAGTTTGGATTGAGTAATTTAAGTAATAGGTAGAGACTACCCAATCGATTATCAAAATAGATAGATAATAGGGGGTCTTTCATCCCTGCTTTCTGTAACTCTATTGTGGATTCCCTCTGCCTCACCCTCTCTTTCTCCCCCCCCTCCCCACCCCACAACTTCCTAAGTTCCCCTACCCCCAGCTCAAACTCCCAGTTAGTTCTGTAAGTGCTTTGAGATATCCTCCTGATATGAAAACTGCCTATAAATGTGAAATTGCTGTTGTCATATACTCGTAAGAGATAAATATTTACACTTCCAGTTTTGGTGAGGTGTGCAGGGGTAAGGAGGGGGTGTCTGAGGTATGCCAAAGTCCTTGAGGCTTGGGAGGTGAGCCGTTCTCGTGGGGAATAATCAGAGTCTAGTAGTTGAATAGGTAACATGTCTTTGGAATTAGTTAAATTGGGTAGAGAGGGATTCAGCCCCCTTTCCTCCACTTGTTTAACCACACCTTCTGGTAGTCATGTAGCATTGCTGAGTGTAGAAATATCTGAGCTGAACTCGCTCAATTACGGTTTGGAGTCCAAAAGGAGTTGGGAACCTGAGGAAAAAAATTGTTAATCCATCAATTCTAATGCTACTTGTTGACCCAAGAGGCTGCTTTCCTAGAAAGAAATCCATTTAAATCCAAGCTGCTGCTATGAAGAGCTTGACATTTGTTCTGTCGGATTTGGCCCGTACTGTGGGAAGAGCGTCCTGTCATTGCACTTACAGGATAAGACTTGTGCTCGAGTAAAAAGCAGTTGTATGGATTTTTAAAGTTTAATGATTTTGAGAATCGCAGGGGATTTATCAGATAATGGAGACTAGCCTGCTGTTGAAATCTTGTGCTGAATATTTATTGGGCACATCTTTTCATTACAGTCTCAAAAATCTATATTCTGCTGTCACTGGAAGGAATCATTGCAACTAAGTGTTGCTTTTTGTTAAAAAAAATTGTGTTTGTTGCTTCTTCAGGTACCAATCCTTGTGCAGATGATAATGGTGGATGCAGTCATCTGTGCTTGTACAGGCCTCAAGGCGTGCGATGTGCCTGCCCAATAGGCTTGGAGCTCATCAGAGACATGAAAACATGCATTGTACCAGAAGCTTTCCTCCTCTTCTCTCGGAGAGCAGACATCAGAAGGATCTCACTAGAAACGAACAACAACAATGTGGCTATTCCACTAACTGGGGTAAAGGAAGCCTCTGCTCTGGATTTCGATGTGACTGACAACCGGATTTACTGGACGGATATTAGCCTGAAGGTATGAAAAGCCTGGCTGCTGCTGCTTCTCTGTTATCTCTGTGTCTCTGAGCTGCCAGAGTTAATGGGCTCCCGCAGGATGCTGCTGGAATAGTAAATTGCAGTCTTAAGTATCAAGAGCAACGTGTACTTTGTAGCGCAGAAAGAAGGACAGGCACAAAACTAGTCTACTGCTTGTATGCGTTTTCCCCCTCTCTCCCCACCCATAAAATATTCTATAAATGAAAGGGTGGTCAGAGAGAAGATAAATTATTTGGGGGACGATGATGAGTGATTTTATTTTGCTGCTGATCTAAAATGACCACAGAACAATTCTCGGTGCCATAAAATGGTTAAATTACAGACTGCTGTATGCAGTGTTTTAATTAGAAAGCTCTTTTTTCATTTTTGTTTCACCCTGTTTCTGCAACATAAACTTAACCAGATTTACCTAGCCACAAATTAACCCTTTCCATCTGAATCAGCCCCCTTCCTCCTCTCTCTCCCCTCCCCACCCAAACTAGCTCCCAAATTCTTATTGAAATCATGATTCCTTGGAAAAGGTGGGGAGAGTTATGAGCAAAGTGCATCAGCTATATTTAACATTTAAATATATTCTTTTGTCTGTTGTATTTTCTTTTTGTTTCCAATTTTCTCCCCCTCTCTGTTTCCTGAAAGAGCAGATTAATTGCGAAGGCTGTTCTTTGTGTATGAGGCTGGATAGTAGTGGCCAACAGTTACTTGATTGCCCATTGCATCACATTAGAGCCCAGCATTTTCATCCGATGTTCACACAAGGCCACTTTCCAGCAGTAGAAATTCAGTCAGCAGCAGGGATCTTATCTTATTTCCTCTTTCCCTTCTCGGCTCCCCCCTCCCCCCTCCAAAACAGCCAGGAATATTGAGATCAATTACTGTACCTTGACTTCTGTGTCAGGAATCAAACCCTTGACCTTTTGATTCTGTAAAGATTAGTGCCACAGAAGGTGATGGCTTTACCCACTAGGACTTCAGAGATCTCTCTTTTTCATCAGAGACAAGCAGATAATCATTTTCTGCAGTGAACACCATAAGCAAGTTTAAAGCGGGAAAGCAAAACTATCTCTGTCATCATAACCTTAATCAGTAAGAGCAAGAGTCAAGTGTGTTTTTTTTTAAAAATGTTTTTCGGTCTGTCATCTTTCTCCTCCTGAAGGTGTATTAGCACATATACAGCACATGTGTGTTTTGCATTGCAGACCATTAGCAGGGCGTTCATGAATGGCAGTGCTCTGGAGCATGTTGTAGAGTTCGGACTCGATTACCCGGAAGGTATGGCAGTGGACTGGCTGGGAAAGAACCTGTACTGGGCTGACACTGGAACCAATCGTATTGAAGTTGCAAGGTTGGATGGACAGCACAGGCAAGTGCTGGTGTGGAAGGACCTGGACAGTCCCAGAGCATTGGCACTGGATCCTGCTGAAGGGTATGTTTACAGGGGTATTAAGTAAAACATTTTCTTGTCCTTAGAATGTTGTCCTTTGTAGCCTAAATTGTTCCTTTTTTTTAATGTGGTATTATAATAGCACTTGATAAGCATCTCATCATGTTGAAACATCTCAATGTTGCCCAATAAATTACTCTGAAGTCTAGTGATCGACTGTTGTGCAGGTAACCGCTGGTGAGGAAAAAAACTGGGATTAATGACAAGCTTGTGTGTGTTTATTGTGAATTTGATGATTGGCCAAAGCACTGAGAGAATTCCCTGATTTTCTAAATATCTTTAATATCCAGATGAGAGGCTGGCTCGTGTTAGCAGGATGATCTATACAGAGACGAGATAAACAAGGACTTTCTATCTTGAAAAGATGCATTTTCGGGCGGGGATGTGGTCTGCAGACGTGTGTAAGAATACCTAGTGCAGGGGCGGCGTTAGGGACCATGCAACCCGTCCAATTACACAGGGCTCTGAGCCAGGCAGGAATATCAGATGCAGTGATAAATGTAAGGATTTCAGATTTTCCTGATCTGAGGTAAATCAACATGCATTTTCACAATCATGTGATTTGACACCAGATTAAGCAGGTAGTATTTAGTATCGTCTAGTAAAATGTAGGTGCCCAAACCAAACCTTAGCACAGAGCCCCAGCAAGACACTGATCTTAGGGTGGGGGGGGGGAGCAGAGAATGTTAACACTACTACAACTGGTTGAGGATTGTGAAGAACCTGAAGAATTGAATAAATAACGATAACTTCTGAACGTTATGTCCACCTTGGACTTCACGTGCTGCACACAATTCGAGGCTGGTTGGGCGTATTTATTTTTCATATTCATATTTTTACTAAAGTTTCTCTGAAGACAGCCGCTGAGAAACATTCATAAATATCAGGTGGTAACACAGGACAACTACTGTTTTTTAAACAAATTATATTTGTTTTCCTCATTCCCTGTGTAAAAGCACCTGGCATCTGTTAGTGACCTCGTTCAATGATGTGGCAAGAACTCGGCCTGCAGTCTTGAACCCACATTGTTCCGTTTTGTTTCAATTGTTAGCACTCTCGCCTCCAAGTCAGAAGATTGTGAGCTTTGTTTGGACTTGGAACTTAGTTAAGACTTTGAACTTGCGGTCAAGGCTGACACTCCAGTGCAGTTTAGGAAAGTTCTGTGTCGTTGGAGGTGCCATCTTTCGGATGAGACTTTAAACCAACAACTACCTGTTCATTTGGAGACTGGAGATCCCATAACACTGTTTGAAAAGAGAAGGGAGTTTTTCTTTCTGCCTTGGCCAACAATCCTCTAATAAAATTGGTCATTCACTTCAAGGCCTTTTGTGGGACACTGTTAAATTGGCTGGCATGTTTGCCGACTAAATAAAGTCACTAAATCTTGCAGTAAATTCTGTTAAGCACTTTGAGGCATCCATCTGACAAGAAAGATGCTATTATCAAATGCAAGGATTATTATTCTGTATCTCAGCATAGCCCTGGAATAATTTCATACTGGGAGAATCTGAACCATTTGAATTTTTTTGCAGAGCAGTTTCTCTAACGTGTGTTTGTGTATTTTTTTATTATAAATGGTAGTTTCATGTATTGGACTGAATGGGGTGGCAAACCAAAAATAGACAGAGCTGCCATGGATGGGACTGGACGCATCACCTTGGTGCCAAACGTTGGCAGAGCAAATGGACTAACTATTGACTATGCAGAGCGAAGGCTTTACTGGACAGACTTGGATACGAGTCTGATTGAATCCTCAAATATGTTGGGTAAGTTTGCATCTGCTTTTTTTGGATTTTCTTGGGGAAGAGAGGCAGAGGCAAACTTTCTTGAATTCAGCGTGGCCTTTTTGTTTGCGTTTTGTTCTCTTTTTACTGGCAATGTTAACCTTAATAGGAAGCTTCTTCTAAAATTGTTTCTTAAGATGTGCTTTGTAAGTATAAAGGATTGACTTCAAGATCCTGACGCTCATGTTCAAATCCCTTCACTCTTTGGCACCTCCCTACCTCTCCGACCTCCTCACTCCCCAATCTACCAGCCGGCGCCTCTGCTCGATTGGCACCAGCCTCCTTCTCGTCCCTTGCACCCTCCACCTTATTATCGGAGGTCACACTTTTAACCACTGTGCCCTGAAACTCTGGAACACTCTCCCTCAATCGCTCCCTTTTTCAACTCCCGCCTGAAAACCTTCCTCTTTGACCATGCTTACGGCCACCTCCCCTCTCCCCTGGCCCGGAGTCAGGCTCCGCCACTGTTAAGTGCTCTGAGTCGCTACCCTGCGAGCACGCTATATAAGTGCAAGTTGTTGTTGTCGTAAAAGTTAAGCGGTACATAATTTACTGTTCACGTGTCTAATCCATGCAGCAGGTGGATTGGACACATGAACACAACAATAAACTATGTACTACTACTGCTACAGTATTATCAAATATTATACTGCAATAATTTGACTTGAATAATGTGTCTAAACACAATTACAATGCTGTTTGTTTATCTTGTAGGTCTTGACCGTGAAGTTATTGCAGATGATTTGCCTCATCCTTTCGGATTGACCCAGTACCAGGATTACATTTATTGGACAGACTGGAGCCGGCGAAGCATTGAACGGGCAAACAAAACCAGTGGCCAGAATCGCACAATCATTCAGGGCCATTTGGATTATGTTATGGATATCCTTGTGTTCCATTCTTCCAGGCAAGGTGGCTGGAATGAGTGCGCCTCAAGCAATGGGCATTGCTCTCACTTGTGCTTGGCCGTGCCAAATGTTGGCTATGTTTGTGGATGCCCTGCTCACTTCTATCTGAACACAGACAACAAAACCTGCAGCCGTAAGAATTGTTACTACTTTTTGAGCGGGAGGGGGCTCTTTAGTTCAATATTGAGCTTTGGTTCAGTATTCAAAGGGCGGCACACAGTTGCTCTGCAATGGACCCCCAACACACGCAGCATCAGTAAGACCACACATCCTTTGGCAATGCCATCATCTGCTCCATTGCTCTGTTTCCTTGTGGCAGAGGCAGAGTTGCTCACGTTGTTGTGGGGGTGGGGGAGTTGAAAAGACAGCTCGCTCTCCCATGTGGTGAGATAATAATAGTATTGGGAGTAGTCTGGCCTTGGATGTGTGCGGCCTCAGGCACAACAGGGAACTGGGAGTGGGATTAAAAAAGAATCAATTTGAAAATTGGATTTAGCTCTGTTTTTCACATTTGTGAAAATTATATGTTTAAAGCTGGGATATCCTAACGTGTATTTAAAACATTCTGAATTGTCACAAATCACATCATTTGGTGGATTTTGAGTTAAAATTTGTTGCACTATTAAAGTAACAATGTTTTCCCCCCCTCCCCCCGCCAGTACACACTTTACAAGAAATATAACTTTACTGATATAAATCTATTTTCAGAACTGTAACTGATTTTGAGATTTAAAGAAATATTTTTTCCATTCAAACATAGTTTTCTTTAAGTTTGTTCAAACGTTTTTGCTGTTATGACCTGTTGGTTCAGTAATGACATTATCACCTTCCAGCTCCAACTTCGTTTCTGCTGTTCAGCCAAAAAAACGCAATTAATCGGATGGTTATCGACGAACAGCAGAGCCCTGACATCATTCTTCCAATCCACAGTCTGAGGAATGTTAGGGCCATCGACTATGACCCTGTACATAAGCATCTGTACTGGATCGATTCACGTCAAAATGTTATCAGACGAGCGCAGGAGGATGGAACTGAGGTCTGTACTAACACAGACTGCATTTAACAACAGTTTTTTGACGCTTCATTTTTGAGAATGGTTAAACTGGTGGTGGTTGTGTGTTTTTTAAACTGAAAGTGCTGGTTAATTCATTATTTTCCCACTATGGGCCTGTTTCTAATCTATGATAATTCTGGTCATTTTAAAGCAAAAAAACACCAAAAGCCCAAGTTTTCTTTAGTCACAACAGCAAGGAATCTCGTCTCCTGCAGTAATTGTTGGAAGCAAAAGTAATTTTAACAGTAGTGTTTGAGTTCCTGGTTTATATGACATTCTGTCTTCTTTATATAAATTCCTCCCAAAGCCTTTGTACTGAGAAGGCCATGTGTTATCTGGAGTTGTGCGTTTATGGGCTAGAGATGATACAAACCAGCTAAGGTTCCTTCCCTGGAGCACTATCCACTGATGCCAGGTCAATATTGGAGTCTAAGGCGGACAACATAGACTTGGCTGTGACACTGTCATGGTTGAATAGCCTGCCAGCTCTTGCTGTTAAGGCTCATGCATGAGAAATGTCCACTTGGGCGAGGTGCTGGAGGCCAGCCAGTGCCACTTGAACTGTACCTGACCAAGAGTCACTGGCTCGGAGACCAGAGAAAAAAATTGTGACATGGAAAATAAAACCCTTATTATATGTGGTCTACAATCCCTCTTGTTTGTTACTATCTCACAAGGTATTTATCTACAGAAACCCTACTCCCAGCTATAAAATGTTGCCCATTTGCTGAGCTAATTCTCTCCCACTCTCCACCCTTCTCTCTGTGGATTATTTTCCCCTTTGTATACTCCTCCGAAAAGCACGGTTGTGTTGGGAATCGTGAAACTGATGATCCTATGATCTTATACTAAATGGAGCCACGCAGTTCTTTCCACACCAGCTTTAATTTCTTGCTATCAGAAGCCAGCCCACAACTTGCACAATTGTATACTTTTCAGGAGCTAGCATTCACGCTAAATTAAAACATCCATTTTTTTTTTGTGTCTTACTTGAACATGTGGAGACCTGTAGCTCAGTGGTTAGAGCACTTGCCTCGCAACCGATAGATCTGGGTTCGATTCCTGGCAGGGCAAAACCTTGGACAAGTTTCCTTACTCTACACGCCTAATGATAATCCCTCAAGAAAGAAAACAATAATAAAAAATTGGTCACTTCAGTCCACGACTGTTTGTGGGACACTGCTGTGCGCAATTGGCTGCCGCGTTTCGCCCACAAACATACAGTCAATTCACCTTAGAGTATATTCTGTGAAGCGCTTTGAGAAGTCTAGAAGATGTGAAAAAGCGTTATATCAAATGCAAGGATTATTATTATGTGCAAAAGATTCAAGGTTTGGCCGTATCTGCCTTTGTTTTAACTGGGCTCTTTCATTGCAGAGTTTCACAGTTGTGACCAGCACTATCCCCAACCAAAACTTGGATATGCAGCCTTATGATCTCAGCATTGACGTCTACAGCCGTTATATCTACTGGACCTGTGAAGCCACCAATGTTATAAATGTCACACGGTTGGATGGTAAACCGATAGGTGTGGTCCTAAGGGGAGAACAAGACAAGCCCAGGGCAATTATCGTAAATCCAGAGAGAGGGTACAGCCACTTTTTGATTTTCAGTGTTTCATCTATGGATTGAGGTTTATTGTAAAATAACTGTAGGTAATATATTATTGAATATTTTTTGCTCTCTCATCCACACAGGTACATGTACTTCACTAACCTTCAAGATCGATCCCCACGAATCGAGCGGGCTGCATTGGATGGCACGGAGCGCGAGGTCCTGTTCTTCAGTGGATTGAGTAAACCAGTCGCTCTTGCAATCGATAACAAGATTGGGAAACTCTTCTGGGCAGACTCTGACCTCCGTCGTATTGAAAGCAGTGACCTATCAGGTATAGAAGCACTGAATAGCCTGACACCCCCCCCCCCCCCCCCCCAAAACCTCTCAATATATTATTGGAAAACATGGATAGTATAACCTGTTTCTGTCAGTGGAAACATTATTTAGTGATTTAGTGAGATCAGCCAACTTGGCATTGCATTGACCGTTGGAATCTTAATGTCCCAGTTCTGTACTTGGCAGTGGCTTTATCTACTGAGCTACCAGGATCCTTCCTTGCTTCCTTTCTTGCTTGCTTTTTTGCTTGCTTTCTGCCTGCCTCCTGTGTAACTCCCCACATGCTGGTTGCTACCATTCCTCTTGTTGCACACGTCTTTTGCCAGTTGATTTTCTGCATCACTACAAATAAGTATTGAGACATATAGTGCAGTAAAGTATAACACTTAAAATTGGGACTGAGTACTGTCATACAATTTGGGGTAATTTCTTCCAGATACTTTTCTTCCAGTCAGAACCTTTCCAGTTGCCATGCAATTATTCAAAGTGAAACAAGATCTTCCCTAATGCTGGAAAAGACAGAACAGCTGATAGATGTCGGAGCAAAAAGCCTTCTGATGCATTCCATGTTATCCAAATTAGGCACTTGATCATATATCAGATTTCTCCCCTTCTCCTCAGCGCTTAATGAATTCTTTTGAATAATAATAATCCGTGCGTTTGATACAGCGCCTTATCACGTCTTCGAGACGTCTCAAAGCGCTTCACAGAATATACTATAAAGTGAATTAACTATATTTTGTGGGCAAAATGCAGCAGCCGATTGTGCACAGCAGTGTCCCACAAACAGTCGTGAATTGCATGATCAATTTTTTTTTGAAGGAATTATTACCCCTGGAAAAGTGATCCGCCAATCGAATAACAACTGGGTTCCTACTTACTGCTAGGTAAACCGAGGCGTGTGGAGTAAGGAAACTTGCCCAATGTTTCGTCCTGCCAGGAATTGAACCCAGGTCTCTCGCTTGTTAGGCGAGTGCTCTAACCACTGAGCTACAGGACTCCAGTTTAGGTCCCATTATTCTGTGGATTAAACCTGAAGGATGCCTAAGAAGTATGTTGAGTAGTTTCCCTGTGGAGTTATCCTCCAGGAGATGAACATGGAACTAGAAGTAGATAAATACTTTTAAAGGAGTCAGCTACAGAGTTAGAGGGGGGGGGAGGGTGACAGGTACATGGGACTGAAATGATTGCTTTTGAAGAAGCCAGCACAAACGTGATGGACCAAATGGCTTTATTTTGTGCCATAAATTTCAGTGGTTCTGCAACGCCTTCTTCCCATGAGGAAGCAGCTTAATTCCACTTGCTGCCCCTCTCTATGACGTCGGAAACTGACGTGTGGAATATGGTGGCCGCTAACTCCCACCCTATCTGCAGTTCTACAATTTATCACTTGCCGGACGTGCATTTCTCTGAAGTCAGTGTTGTGAAACACCTGTTCCTTCCTCTCTCCATTGTAAATCCAAATTGCTTCATTTTTTTGTGAGTGAGAAGGCACCCTCCCTTTTAAAAACAAATATGCAAAGCATTAGAAATTTACAAGGAACAAATTTAAAAAATATTGGTGGAAACATTTCCCTTGTTAATTTTGAGACACCAGCAAAATATCACGTGGGCCATGGAACTAGTTCTGTATTCTAAAAATTGTGCTGCACCGTACCAAATGAAGAGATGCACCAAAGTGTGGTGGACTGTATTTTTTTATTTTAAAAAATGTTATAACCTTTCTTTTAAGGCGCAAATCGAATTGTTCTGGAAGATGCGAATATCCTGCAGCCAGTTGGTTTGACCGTGTTTGGAAGCCACTTGTACTGGATTGACAGACAGCAGCAGATGATTGAGAGGATCGAGAAGATGAACGGCAACAGTCGCACTAAGATTCAAGCACGCATTGCCCAGCTGAGTGACATTCATGCTGTGAAAGACCTTGACCTGGAGGAATTTGGTATGCTGCTCCATTCCTATCTGTATCGAAGCTGATCTATTTTATGATAGATGCCTCCTCGTGGGGTCAGGCGAGAAAGAGAAGAATTAATGAAGGGAATGGAAAAATAGGCCACTTTTGTTTGAAAGTGTTAAAATGTTGCAAAGCGTTAAATTGCAAATCATATACTCCCATCGCCAACAAAATAATAATAGTTGCATTTGGTATAAGTGCCTAATTGTGTCGTTGAGGCGTCTCAAAGCGCTGCACGGAATATACTGTAAAATAGAGTGACTGTATTATGTGATACACAACCCCTCCCCTTTCTGGAATATGCTGTGAAGCACTTTGAAATGTCCTCCCAACATGAAAGGCAATATATCAAATGCAAGGGTTATTAATTATTACTTTTACTTGGTTGTGATTTATTACAACGTTATAAAATCTGAAACAGTGACATTGCTGTTGTCAACCCTTCACCTGAAAAACGGTGTAACCTGCAGCACCAACAAAAACCTAAATAAACAATTCTCATGAATGCCACAGTCAATAATAAAATAAAGTGAGTTGAAGGGAATGATTTTCAAAGCAATATCACTGTGGCAATACCCATTACTGAAAACCTGAGAATTACTTTCCAGTGAAGCTTGTGGCACTATTGAGGACATTGTGCTAGAAAAGTAACTATTGGCACTTGTAATAATTTTTAAATGCAGATCAAAGGCTGATGTGCCTAATTTTGTTGGTGTTTTAAGCCATTTTAATTTTAAAAAAAAGGTTTTGGCGCTGTTGGAATTCTTTTTATTGGATCATGAAAGATCTAAGCGACGGTACTGTAGATTCTTAAAAGTGCATACAGTGCAAATAGAGTCTGGCAGCTTTCCAGATAAACCTGAAATAGATGTAAAACAGCAGCAATTGTTCTCGAAAGATTATACAAAATTTTGAATGGTAATTGCCAGAATTTCCTAAGTGTATGGATGCACATACACACAATCCTGAGTATCTTCTGTCCCCAGTGATGCACGGTGCGGGTCAACAGATGTGTCAGGGTGCCTTATTAAAAAAATATTGGATTTGTTATAGCATCTTTCACATCAGGATGATGTTTCAAAGCACTTCATGGGTTTTTAGCAAAAAGTGTAGTGACTATTTGTGGGCAAATGTGGGAGTCACATTTCAGACAGCAACTAGCAAATAACAAGCAGTGAATGTTATTTGGGGGATTGTGGGTCAGGACATTGGAAGAAACTTTCTTCTCTTTTCAAATCGTGCCATGGCATTTTGAATGTTCATCTGAACAGGTAGACAAAACCTTATTTTAACATCTCATCCAAAGCACAGCACCTCTGACATTGCAGCACTCTTTCCCCAGCAATCCTTTGGAGTGTCAAACTTGATTGAATTCAAAGTCCCGACATAGGGCTTAAATCTACAACCTTCTGACTCGGAGGCAAAAGGCTGTTCTACTATATTTTCGAATTTGTCACTTTTATTTGAAATAGATTTTGGTTCAAAATTATTGTACCCACGATTTCAGGGTATTTTATAAGTCACAATGCCAATACTGTGACTCAGTTATTTTTTAGAGAGAAACTCAGCTTTATTCTATCTATATTTTAGAAGGTATAAAAACATGTCAGAAAATCCAACTCTCGCACTAGATGCAATGGTTAAAAACTAATGATCTGCTTCCAATCGGGAAAGCTAATGTAACTTTCACGCAGTTGCAATCATTTGGTGCTTTGCTATTATGTGTGGCATTCGTGTATTAGGCATTCATGAATTTATTTTAGAGAAAACATGACGCATACATGAGCATGAAAAAGGAATAGAACATGTGGAGTATAAATACTGGCATGGACTGATTGGCTTGTACCACTCTGTAATTCTCCTTTTGCATTTGCAGTATGAAAGCTAATGTAGGATTTCTCTTGTCTTGTAGCGGAACATCCCTGCACTCAGGATAATGGTGGCTGCTCCCACATTTGCATTGTAAAGGGAGATGGTACTACACGCTGTTCGTGCCCTGTTCACCTTGTCCTACTTCAAGATGAGCTATCTTGTGGAGGTAAAAGAAAGTGTTCAATTTGAAGCTGCAGCTATCGTGATCATTGCTCGATGATCATTTCAAAATGTTATTTTGACTGTGGGGACGTCACAGCCAAAACCCATTGCTGTTCTCACTTTACTACAAGGGTTCGATCAGTGGTAGCATCAGTTGTAGCACCCTTGCCACCATTCCAAATGAGTTTAAACTCAGCAGAAATGAGAGATTGAACCTGAAACCCAGCTCAGATCTACCCTGGGTAGTGCCTTTACCAACTGATCCCAATCATATACACATCTCAGCAGTTCTGGCCAGGCTCCACTGGCTCCCCATCACCGAACGGCTCGATTTCAAGATCCTCACACACGTATTCAAATCCATTCACTCCCTGCCCCTCCCTACCTCTCCCACCTCCCCAATTCACCTCCACTCGACTGGCACTGGCCTGCTCGTCCCTCTCACCCTCCGCCACACCATTGGAGGATGCGTTTTCAGCCACTACATCCCAAAACTCTGAAACGCTCACCCTCAATCCCTCCGCCATGCCCCCACCCCTTTTCCCCTTTTTCAAGTCCCGATGGAAAACTTACCTCTTTGACCGTACTTACGGTCACCTCCCCGTTCCCCTCGGCTTGGAATCAGGCTCCGCCACTGTTGATCGCTCTTGAGGCGCTGCCCTGCGTGGAGGGCGCTTTATAAGTGCAAGTTGTTGGCGTTTATAATCCAAATTGCTATCAGAAGGTCCGGAGAGGAAGCAGACTGCTCTTTTCAATGTATAGATGAGAACAAGTTTGGGGTTGGCTGCCCTGCCCATCACACCGTCACAGTAACTGGAAGCATTCAATATTAAGGCTTGCACCCGATGGATATGATTTTATGGTGTCATTATGAAGAATACAGTTTGGAAAAGATATGGGGAGAAGGTGCAATAAATCAAATAAACATTAAGTGTTTAGGTTTTATTTTCTAACCTGCTGTGCGTGCGTGCAATGCGTGCACTGCTTTTCTCCCGTGTAGAGCCACCGACCTGTGCTCCAGATCATTTCACCTGCGCCACTGGAGAGATAGATTGCATCCCCTTGGCCTGGCGCTGTGACGGGTATCCTGAATGTGACGATCAAAGTGATGAACAAAACTGCCCAGTGTGCTCAGACAGTCAATTCCAGTGCGCCAGTGGACAGTGTATAGAGGTTGCCTTCAGGTGCAATGGAGAGACGAATTGTCAAGACCAGTCTGATGAACAGAAATGCGAAGGTATTTGTTGTTGGGGCGATTCTCTTCCATACCCTGTAATTTTTAAAAATCAACTTTACCCTGGAGCAGGGAGAGTAAGCTGCTGGTTAGCGTAACGAGGGGGAAATAAGCTTTCTTAGTGTAAAGGGTATTTTGGTGATTAATTCTATGCATAATATATGTGCTTTTTCTCTACTGTTTATGTGGGAGACTCACTCGAATCTCTTGCTTGCTGATTCATTTTGTGCTGTGCATATTCAGATTGGTTACAGTGGCTAGGGACAGATCATTGTGGGGCTCTGCTTCATTCTGTGGCTGTGGATTTAGACATGCATCATTCACTTGCTTCTGCACTTGGACATTGTTCTCTGTTGTTGCCGAGGAGAAGGGCACGAAAGGGGGGAAAGAAAAATAGGAAGTCAGCGAAAGACGCTCAGGTTTACTGGTAGGTTCCGCCACCTAGCGGTGAGATTTAGGTTTATACTTCACAATTGTCTCAACGTCGCAATACATTTCCAATCTCAGCTGCCAAAAGGTGCAGAGTCGCAGTGAAAGTGATGAACATTCCCTGCAGGGAGGGCTAGGATGCTTTCCACCTAACCCGCAACGATGGGAGAGTGTGCTCCCCCAACAGGAAGAGAGTGAAAATTTGGACGACGAATAATCAGTCGTATTTTCATCCTGCCCCCAGCGCTGAGAGATGCAGTGAGAGAGGCTGGGGAACAGTTCAGAGGACCGGGAGGGGAGGCGAGAGGAATGAACTCTTCTTGACTATTACCAACCCGATTTTAATTCTCGGTGGCAACAATGGCATTATTTCCTTGGCGCTTTGTATTTGAGATGTACAGTGGTACCCTTTTAAAAAGCGTTTCATTAGAACATGGGTTCGTTTATGAACCTCAGTGTTTACAATGCAATATAAATTTTCATTTTATATAGCGCTTTTCACATTGTGAGGACGTCCCAAGGCATTTACTTACTCACTCAAAGCACTGGTCAATGCAGTGAAAGCTAAAACAGCTAGCTTCTGGGACATAGGGTCACTATTTGCACACAGTGCATTCAACTCTTCCTGCATGCCCACTGATATTCTGTCAACGTGTATACTGAATGCAGAAACTTTGACTGGTGATTGCACCCAATTGTAATGCAGATCGGGATTTGATGGTTTCAAACTATCGCGTTATAACGGGGCTCCACTGTATTTCAGTTTTTGAGCATCTACGTTAAGCCTGCCCATTTCGCAATCTGTAAATTGTTTTCTTTTTCCCTCCTTGCTCAGTTCTGTGCCCTGTGGACCAGTTCCGTTGTGCCAATGGCCAGTGCATTGCCAAACATAAAAAATGCGATCATAACAATGACTGCACTGATAATTCGGATGAAGTTGCTTGCTGTAAGTTTTGATTGAATAATGATTCTCTTCCGCAAGAGTTTGATGCATTTGAGTTTTTGCTCTTTGGTGACGGTAAATTCTGTTAATTTCATTCCCAACGAATGGTGTTTCTTTTCTTCCTCTTCCCATTAAGAAAAAATAAGGACTGTTCAGGGGTGTCAAACATATTCGGCCTTGGGGGACAGATGAGCAGTTAGGCATGAAGCACAGGGCTGGGTAGGCTGGTTTTATATTGGAATTTCAATGCTAACTGCACTAATTCTGCTGCTAACTGCTCCAATGCCAAGGCGAGATCCGAACAATAGTTATTTTCAATGGCCTTTATTAATGACTAATTACATAAACCAAACTTCAACTTATTTAGAAGTTGAAGCACCAGAGCTGACATCTCTTTGATGCCTTAAGAGCATTGAAGTCAGGTTTGATCAAGTTCACCTTTAGTCAAACATAGCTCTTGTCCCAATTTGGGACATTTTTGAGATTGATGCAATCATTAGATATATAATATACAACTTTGACAAGCCAATGGCAGATAATTTGTTTTAGATCATGTTGTACTTCAGTTCTATTAGCTTTATTTGGAAGTGAGCAGGTGCAGTAAAGGGAGAGATGCACGCAGATCAAACTCTTATTTTCTGTGCCTTAAAATCCTGAAAGCATCTGGAAAACGAAGAAGGCTGATTTTTTTTAACAGATTCTAGCGTAGCATCTTGAAGAAAGTCGGAAAATTTGTTGACACGAATAGATACTTTCCAAATATGTATCAAATTGCTTTCTTAGTCCTCATAGTACATAATCCCCACACTTTACACTAAATTCTGTGAAGCCCTCGGAGATGTCCTCCCGGCATGAAATGCATTAATTATATCAAATGCAAGGATATTATTTTGTATCAGTTTGGCTCATGTGGTTGCACTCTCACTTCTGAGTTATAAGGTTATGAGTTCTGCATGTTTGATATCCCTGGCGCAGTACATGAAAATGAAAGGGACCTTTGTGTTTCAGTTTGCTCTTGTGAAATGTGTGCTTGAGTCAGATTTATCAACATGTTCACATGCTGATTTTTGTATGCGTTTGTTTGAGTGGATTTATTACCCCTAATAAATTCCCATTTTAACTTTTTGCGAACACATACACAGTCACTCCACTTAACAGCACATCTTGTGAAGCACTTTGAGACGTCTTCCCAATGTGACAGGCACCATATGTCCCATAGAACTATAGAAATTTATGATACAGAAGAAGGCCATTTGGCCTATTGTGTCTGTACTGGCTCTCTGAAGAGCATTTCACCTATAAAACACAATCACCTCACTTTATAGTATATAACCTGTGAAGCACTTTGGGATGTCCTCCTGACGTAGAAGGAGCTATATCAAATATTATTATTTTCATTCTGGCCAATTTCTCTCTGTTGTTACTAGACATGAATGCTGAAAGTAAAGGCATGAGATCATGTGATGAGGATGTGAAATTAAGCGTAATTACATTCTGTATTATTTTGGAAATGAGTGGAGGTCTGGCTGGAATGTGTCCAAGTAAGGAATTGGTGGAAAAAGATATGGGTGTTTAAAGCTGTGATAGTCTGACCATAGAGTGCAGAGCAGTAACCTAGACACGGAGGGGAAGAGGGGGGAAAAAAAAGAAACTGCAGCAGTTGCCTTGGACTTGATGGGATTTGATAACATTTTGGAGGTTTTATTTAATCGAAAGTGTCACTTCTGAATTTTTGTTTTCCTGAATTATCCTCTTTCTTTGCCCAGGTGATGTATTTTATAGGGTCAATTACAATATTGTCCTAATGGGTATTTTAAAATGAATTGCCACAGAGGCTTAATGACTTTTCGTTCAAGTTTTTAAGTTCTCACTTTGTCTTCCTAGTCCTAAAATTTGCGGACGCCTCAGGCCAATGAAGCTCTCATTGCTAGCAAGGTTTAGTTGGAATAAAAGAGAGCTATTTCCTCTGTATTTAGCACTTTTAAAGTAAACCCAAGAACACATTTCAGTTGCCTTCGGTCCTTTCCTCATCTTTTTCCTCCAAAAATCACTCGTGCCTCAGAATCAATCCATCACTAATTCAGCAACCCCCACCCACTCGATAGCAGTAAATTAAATGGTACAAAACATCACCTTGATGGGAAAAAAAATGTTCTTTTATTACAGATCCAACAGAGGAGCCGACGCCTCAGCCCACAAACACCATCGGTTCAATTATCGGTGTGATTCTCTCAGTGTTTGTGATCGGAGCTATGTACTTCATTTGCCAGCGTGTACTGTGCCCGCGGATGAAAGGCGATGGAGAGACTATGACAAATGATTTTGTTGTGCACGGATCTGCTTCAGTGCCTCTGGGCTATGTACCGCATACTAACTCCCTCCCAGGATCACTGCAAGGTAAGGATGATCCGTGTTGTCGGGCACTGAGCAGTGAGGTACAGTTTATGGAATCACATTGAAGAAAGTATAATGCTGCAGTCAGTAACTGGCACTTTGTTCCTGTTGCTGCAATTCATTAGCTCCGTCAGGTTGTATTTTGATACAATGCTTTACTCCGGGTTGCAGGATGATTCTAATTCATACTTTTAATATTAATATCACCAGCCTGATCTCTTCCAGAAGAATGTTGTTGATGAATTGACATCTTGTCATATCCTATTGTTACTAACATTACCACACTGCAGTTGTGGTACCAGTGCTGTGCTGCACTGAGGTTTTTAGACTTCCTACCTCTGCCACCTTGTTCAAGCATACTGACACTGCTGCTCCCTTACCTCAATGATCACTGGCCTGTTTCATGGAGGGCTTCCTCCCTCCCCTCCTCTCATTCAAGGTGCGTCTCAGAATACTTCTTTAAGCACACTTTTAGTCACCTCTCCCCTCCCCACTCCTGCTCCCACTCCCAACTCAGGTGTCTAGCCACTAGTGACACGTACATTGAGGAGTTCTCTCGACGAAAAAGGCATTATGTAATGTAAATTTTTCTTTTTATTCTGTTCAAGTATTAACAACCCTGCTTTCAGCCTATGCTGTTGTTCGTGAGACAGTTCCTGAAGTGGTGTAGTTACAGATTGGCATCGCTGTTCTGAAGCCCTCTTGTTTCTTAAAATGAACTTGGGTGGTCTCTTGTACGTCCATTCTATAATGTAATGACTCAGCAGAGCTTCTAAAACAGTCAGCTGTTCTCCATCAAGCTCACTGGAAGTATCTTGAATCACTGAATGATTCCCTGTTTGAGATCATGTGTTGGGAGCTGTGCTGTTGTCTCACTTTACAGTGCTAGGAATGCTTTCCACTCCTAATGCTACCCAGGTGCTGGCTGTATTGCACTGGCGATTGCAATATGATGACAACCTCACCAACTCGCATTTATGTAGCGCCTTTCACGTAGGATAACGTCTCAGCGTGTTTATAGTGATTGGGATGAATAAGTATACATTTCTCCGTGTGAAGAAAGCCTTGGCAGAGGTCTTGCAGTTTAGTTGCCTAAGTTTGTCATTCTGCTTCCCCTCTGGAACCCCATATCAGAGCCCATATGCCTTGCCCCTTCCCTCCCCACCTTTAAACCTTTTTGGGGGCTGTATTTTGGTCACCCTGGCTCCCCTTTCTTGACTTCCCACCCTTTCCTTATCCTCCCCTTCCCAACCACCTAGACACCCCCCAACCCCAGCTCAGGTTCCCAATCAGCTCTGTGAAGTGTTTTGAGAGTATGTAAACATAAAGTTGTTGTTGGTTGCTGTTGCATTCAACTTTGCTCTCGTCCCCTCCCTTGCCTCCTTCAAGACCCATCTCAAGACCCTCCTCTTCAACCTTTGCCTTCAATCACCCTCCTCACCCCCCCCGCTTCCCTCCACTCTCCCCAACCCTGACCCCCAGCTCAGGTCTGAAACACTGATTGTCCAGCGCCTTGGGACGTGCTCCCGATGTGAAAGGCGCTATATAAATGTAATTTTGTTGTTGTTGTTTCATTCCAGGTATGTCCCGTGGCAAGTCAGTGATGAGCTCTTTGAGCATTATGGGCGGAAGCAGTGGGCCTCCCTATGACCGAGCTCATGTTACCGGTGCCTCTTCCAGCAGCTCCTCCAGCACAAAAGGCACTTACTTTCCTCCTGTAAGTAGACAGTTTTTAATCGTGAACATCTGAGCTTGTAGCTTGTAACCTGGGAGAGGAGAACAAAATTGGACACCTGCTCAGCCTCTTTGTTTCACGCTCCCAATTGCCTCTGTTTCACAATTTGCATCTGTCCCTCTGAATTGGATCACTCAAGCGACCTTTCCTTATTTGTGAACCTAGTCAGTAAATCCTCGCAAAACTATTCAACTGTGTGTATATGTGTGTGGGAGTGGGGGGGAGGCAGGGGACAGAGATCGACAGGGCACAGAGGGAAAGGAGGCATTACAGCAACGCCCGATCCTGTTTTCATGGCAGATTCCAGCAAAGAACAATGGCCAAAAATTGGGAGCAGGAACATTTTTCCCTTTTCTCCTTTCTCCCTGCCAACACCTCAGGTGGCTGCGATCAGTTATTTTGTTATTCATTTCCCTGTAACACTACCTGCCTGAGGTAGGTTCTTCAGCACAGATCAGCTATTAATGCTGAGATGTTAGTATTCGTGGCTCAGTGTCGTACCTCACAATCCATTATCATGCTGGGGGGAGAGGAAGGAAACCACATGCTTTCTCCAGCGTAGACTTCTAGATTTAAAATTGACTTTTGTCCTTCCTAGATGCTGAATCCTCCACCTTCGCCAGCTACAGAGCGTTCACATTACACCATGGAATTTGGTTACTCGTCAAACAGTCCTTCCACTCACAGGTCATACAGGTAAACATCGGGCAATCTGAATCAATAGGATTTTACTGAATCAAATGCCACATTGCTTTTTAGACTGTAAGATCAATCGTGCAAAAGATATTATTCTGCTCTTAATATAAATGTTCCCCAGGTAGGGTATCCTGTTCCCCTGAGTAGGATATCTGGTAGCTTTGATTACGGTCAAACTATTTTTATAGAATGCACTTAAATTTTGGTACTGCCTTTGACACGGTTATGGAAGACTTCTATGCATTTTGCCCTGAAAACTCCTTTGTACCCCTGAAATAGCTTTGGCTTTTTGGAATGACCCCATTACCTTAATCTTGTGTCCATTTGATAGAACGAAAGGGTAAAGCAGAAATATCATTGCTAAATGTAGGACATATTTTTCCCCATGCACAGAGTGAAAGTATAAAGAATCATGTTAAAAGATTGATACTCCTGGAAACGCTGACATTTTCTATATTTTATATACATTTTGGATTTAGCTAATATTAGACTGTTATACGTGCAGCAGCATTACATACATAAACAGGATTGTTCCACTAACTATATTTGTTTCCTAATTATTTAGAACAGAAACGGTCGCTCTAAAGTTAGATTGTATCCAGATTATCTTTGCCATAGGCTTATTCAGGGCTAATTGATTCATGCTTTCCTTGAACAGAAACTGTTGAGTTTATTTGGCATTAATAATAGTTGAGGTAACACAGTTGCATCTGGTTTTATTCAATGTCTAAACTTTCCTGCTTAAGAAACAGAAACGCTTTAAATTTTTTTTAAAAAAATCTGTAGTTTAAAAAAATATGTATGGACTTTTTGTTTGCAAGATTGTATTTATGTACTTCTTATGTTAATAGATTTATATCAGATGTCATGCACTGATTTCTTGCACTTTCTTCTCTTCCTCGCCCTCCCCCCTCCCACCACACAGCTACAGACCTTATGCTTATCGAAATTTTGCTCCACCCACAACACCCTGCAGTACTGACGTTTGTGACAGTGACTACACTCCTGGGAGGAGGATGGCCATGACGAAATGCTACAGTGATCTGAACTATGACTCTGAGCCTTTCCCTCCACCCCCTACTCCGCGCAGTCAGTACTTGTCTGCCGAGGAGAACTATGAAAGTTGCCCTCCATCTCCATACACTGAACGGAGTTATTCACACCATCTTTATCCACCCCCTCCCTCCCCATGTACAGACTCCTCCTGAGCTCCGGATAACCATCTTCGCCTATTGTAAATAATTGTGGATATCAAAAGACTGCACAAAAGAGTGAAGATATGTATGGATATGTACAGTGAAAATAAATGGGGTATTGAGGGGGAGGGGGGAATAGCTTCAAACGACTTGTACAGTAGAGAGAATATTTATATATTTTCTAAACAGCACCTGCTGGTTGTGCCATAAAAATTGTAAAAATTTGTACAAAAAAAAAGCTTTTTCACATTCAAACAAAATGCCTTAACCCAGGGAAGCAACTATACCTAAGAAGAAGACAAAAAAAAGTAACAAAAGAAGGCAATGAGCACACACTTTGCAATGGGCGCACGGACTGCTGGATTAATTTTTACAAGACCAGTGCTTGAAGAAAATCTCACTGCATTTCGACAAAGAAAACATAGTGTCAACAGCCTGCAGGTTACACCGAGAGGAAATCAGCTGCACAGCACATTTCTTAAAGTGGAGAAGAGTTTGTTTGGATTTTGTTTCTTGAGCCTTTAGAAGGAAAAACAATTTTTAGCAGCGCTTCCTCAGTTGAAAAGGATGGAGCATACAGCCACATGCTGAGATTCTTCTGATACTTGCACCGGCGGTGTGTGCAGTTTCACAGTGAAGCCAGCATCAACTACTCTGCAGCTTCCAAAGCTGACTGATGCCATGTGCGATCAACCCACAATACAACACCCTTGTTGCACAGGGGAGGAAGATAAATTACCTTGGCTTTTAGCCTCTGGAATGGAACCATCACTATTCAAGAGTAATATGAAAACAAATGGTGGGGAAGCATTTATGACTCTAATATTTGACCAAGTCCAGAAGCCGTGCCTGATCCTTTTTAATTCTTACTCAATAAGCTTTTAACTTCAGTGCCCAGAAATGTTCTAGTTGTATTTTTATATCACATATGTGTAGATAACCTATTTATGAGCTATAAAATAACCTTGTATTAGATCTTCTGTAAAGCCTATCCATATATCCTTGCAGTACTTTCATGTATAGTTTTATTATTACACTTTATGCCTCATTTTATTTTTCTATAAAACATAAGTATAAGGGTAATGACAATCTCAGATTTTTTTAAAAAAAAGACAAGACATCCAGATGAGTTTATTTTCTGTTTTTTCTTCCCATCAGTTAAGGTACTTTTCCAGAATTCAGAAATCAGCTTTATATTCTGCATTGTTAAAAACAAATATGTGACATTTTGTAGCCAAGACTGAATGCTTTGTCATGGTCCATTATCATTTAGCTGACTTGAGTCGAATTGATCTCAACATTGCATCCTTTTTAAGATATTGTTTCTGATACTCATTTATTTAATATAGGCAGAAATATTTTCCACCAGAAATAAATTGTTCAAAAATATGCTCTCAAAATATGGAATGACCTGTACATGAGAATTTTTGTTTGCTGTCCGTGTGGTACCAGGAGCTATAAGTTGTATCTATCTGTGCATATTTCTGTATGATTGCGTGCCAAATCCTGTTACCAAACAGCCTATGGTGGTGTGCACCTAAAGCAAATCACTTAGTTTGGAATGAAGGATCTTGTTTGGAAGTGAAGGATCTGGTGCTGCTGAATGCATTAGCTGTAAACCTCCAAATGTACTTTTCCAGCTGTCAATTGGGGCTTGACAATTATACCAAGTACCATGATCAAATGCCCCTTCCCCTCTCTTTTTCTCTCTCTCCCCCCCGCCCCCCCCCCCCCCCCCCCCCCCGGTGCCAAGATGCTTTGCGAGGATGTGTTTATATTATTGACCAACATTTGGTCAGTCTTATCCACTTGTCCATTAACATCCTTGAAATGTAAAATAACTTGTGCTTGTTTAAGCTGTGTTCAAAAAGAAAAAAAGCACCTTGTACAAAGCCCATTTCTGTTACTGTTATAAAGCTGAGTTGTAACAAATGAAAAGTTGATTTTTATAATAAAAGTGAGAGTGAAATATTTTATATTCCTTTCCCCCCCCCCCCCCCCCCCTCGCCGATAAGATGAGGAAAGGGGAGAGGAGAATGAAACGGCTGAGAAAGACTTCATTATTGAACCTCCTGTGGGGCTATCAAAGTACTTATTTAGAGCTCATTTCATCAAGAACTGCATTTTTATGGGAAATGTAAGTCCCATTGCTTTGGGGTTGGAGTGTTCGTTGTAGATACAGTGACAGTTTGTAATAATGATTGCCACTGAATTTCAAAAGTTAAAGAGTAAAAAGGTTTGTTGCAAGATCAGGTGGATATCTGTGTGCTATTCAGTGCGGAAACAAACCCTGAGAACAATGACAACTCTGCTCTTTCGCTCAAGTCCCAGCAGAAGAGAAGGCAGAACTCCCAGAGAATGTTCCTATTTGCACTTCGATAACCAGATTTTTTTTAAAAAACAGCTATTTCTATAGGATATTAAGAGCAAGCCGGGGGGGGGGGGGGCCTAAAAAAGCACAGCATAATCCAGAGGTTCTGAAGATTTAAATTGCAAGTGAGAGGAGCTAAAATGGCTTTTATCCTCTGATCTTCCGAGATGTTTTGCATCAGTATTAAATAAAATTAAGATTCATAGAAATCTACAGCGCATAAGGAGGGCATTCGGCCCATCGAGTCTGCACCAGTTCTCGGATTCAACTGTACTTTTAATCCCACTGCCTTGTCCTGTTTCCACTGTGAAGTATTCTGTATAAGAACATCAAAGGTATGATATAAATGCAATTAGTTGTCAATGAGCTACACAAATGTATTCGGTCATTTAAATGTGACGCATTTACAGAACTGAGTTCCTCCTGTGAAAATACCCTGTTCTATGCCGCCACATAATGTTAGGGCAAAATAGTGCAGAGTTTCTTCATTTTCTTCCCTTAAGTCTTCCTACATTATTTACATTCCCTCACCTGTAGCTTTATTTCTAGATATGTAACCATACTTCTGTACTCAACTGTGAAAGCCACAACTATTAACAGCCTGAATAAATCACTCAAGGTTACTTCCCTCCCCCCTCCCCTTGAAAGTGGAACAAGATTATGCTCTTTGCTGAACATTTTCCTCAATGGCACAATTGAGAATGTGAAGTTATGGAAGTTTAGCACGTTTAAGCCTGTATCCTATCAGCATTTGTATCGCTTTTTGGAGATCAAATACATCGCACAACTGCCATCCATTCAGAATAGCAGACGGAGCCTAGCTTGCTGTGATCACGCACACAAACCATTTCCTTGGTCCTTTCGATCACAAGGCTGGGTAGAGCCAAAGACTTTCATTATAAGTCAAGTTCTTTTTCATGTGGTGCAAAGACATTTGTGCCAGACAGAGTGCAGTAAAGGAGCTGACCAACCATTCAAGTGATTCACAGCAACCTAACCACTCACAGGTGAGGACGTTGCTTAGCCTCTGAAGTTGTTCCAAGATGAATTGTATTGGAGCTGTAATGATCTTGGACTGCTTGTGAATTAAACCACTTAGATTTTATGTTGCCTTTAGAATCTTTGGATTATGTTTATCTTAATGCAGCCTTATTCCAACCCAGCTTTTTATGTTTGCGCCGTGTTTAGGGTTGTTTTTTTTGTTTAAAAAGACTACCCTGTACTTTGGGGGCTTATCCAGATTCGTGAGCTGGAATTATTCCTTTTTTAAGACTGATTACTTGAAAGTGCAGTGTGATTATTGTAGTCTATTACATGTTGAAGTCACTCTGGAAGACTTTCTTACTTTGTCATTTTTCAGTTAAAGAAGTCTGCCCCGCTTGAAAATAAAAACAATTTTGCACAGCATGTGGTACATCTATAAAACATACCATTTTCTGTAAATGGTTTACTGTTGTTTAAAGTGGGTTTGCACCTACTGGTGACTCTAGCCTCAAACATGTTTTGATTTCTTTTTAACTTCTTGCAGATTTTTCTATTTAAAAATTGAAAATTGTTTCAAAGAAAACTAGAATGTTAATGGCTGCTGGGGTAGGTTCCTCAAAATGATTTCATCTTTTTATGGAACAGCATTACAAAATTGTAAGCAATCGTACAAGGCCAAGTGGAAATCTAAATTATTTACCACCCAGGGTTAGAACAGATGTTCGTAAAAAATGCAGTTTCATATTGCTGTGGGACTCATCAAATACTTAGTAAAATTATACTGTATTCAAAATCAATATAACTCTTATTGCTAAATTGAAGCCAGCATTAGAAGAATGCGTGTAATATTTCTTACATGGAATATGCAATGAAGCATATTGCATATTCCAAGGCAATGTCTGTTTTATTTATGTCTGGTCATGACTAGGATTTGCCTGTGATCAAGCTTAGCTGAAGGAGAGCTTTTTTTTAAGATGAATTTTCAAATAGAAAATTAAAGGAGACTTGACTGATGCTGTCTCTAAGTTTGGTCATTTAAAACTTGCCATCAAGATGTATTGGAAAATATCTTCAGAAAAGTGTACATTTTGTTTTGAATGTCGCCTTCACTATGGCTTGCATCTGCTAACATCAAAAGTCGGTTAAAAAATCTGTATCTTATGCATAGATTCATGGACATCATCTTGAGCCTGTTGATTGGACCCTTATAGCAACTTGGCTCAGTTGGTAGCACTCTTGCCTCTGAGACAGAAGGTTGTGGGTTCAAGCCCCACATCAGGAAATGGAATTCACATAATCTAAACAGACACCCTAATACTGCAAGTATGCTGCATTGTTGGAGATGCCGTCCTGCAAGTGAGACATTAAACCGAGGTACTGACTGCTTATCCAAGTGGATGGCATTATTCAAAAAAAGAAGGGTGTTTCTCCCAGTGGCCAACAATCCCCCAGATAAAATTGGTCACTCACTCCATGGCTGTGTGCAAATGGATTTCCGTGTTTTCCCACAAAACACGCAATCGCAATACAGTATATCTTGAGACTTCTTCCTGACGTGATTCTCAGTTGAAGTTTGGGCTGCTGCTTTTAGCAGTCTGTTTCTTTTCCTGTCCGTTCCCGGTGAAGGACACTGTATAAATGCAAGTTGTTGTTGCAGGGTTAACTGCAGAACCATTAAGTCCGTTTCTCTCCTCCAACATCATAGCTCTTGGCTGAACATATAATTCCACAAAAGGCACTTGGAATTTTGGAAAGAACAGCTAAGTTATTGGAGGAATATAGACTGCAAAGGGCTTTCCAGTCGTGTGCATTCCTGTGCTCCTATGTAATCCATGTTACACAATGAACTGACCCAGCAGTCAGTGTGAGGACTGACTGTGTCTCATAGGTAATGGAAATCTAGTAATGGCACATTTAAGACTACAACACCATGCTTCTAGAAGGCTGGAAAAATGCCTTGTGAATGTAACTAATAGGAATACATTTTGCACATTTTAAAAAAAACTTCTGAATGAAGTAGCTGATGGAGACATTGTGCTGAGATTGTACTGGGATAATTTGCTGCAACCTTTTTGGATGAGATGTTAAGCCACATGTGGTGCGAAAAATGCTGAAATCACAATTGTTTGAATCATGTGGCTTAATAGCCATGTATTGAATCACCATTTGATCATGTTACCCTTCCATCTCTATGAGGTTGATGCCCATCCCACTTGTAATATAAATGAAAAAGCCAAAAGATCTAAATATAATAATAGTAATAACAATTTGATACAGTACTGCATTTGATACAGTACTTTATCATGTCATCGAGACGTCTCACAAGGATTTACTGTGAAAGTATAGTGACTATTTGTAGATGATTTAGTACATTTGTAAAGTTACAGAATAACACACTCTGGAATAAGGATACAGGCAGTCATGCTTTGCTGCACTGCGATCATACTTACATACTTGAGGTTCTCTCACAGTTGGATGCCTTCTGAATACCTTGATCTACAACTGCCTTGAAACACTATACAGTATTATGTTGTCTTATACCTCACAACTGTCAAACAGAGCATTGTAATACACTCAACTCTTCACCAACAGTGTGTTACTTCACCAGTTGTGTAAAACAGTGTCAGCCTGTCTCAGTTTGTCGTACTCTGGCCTTTGAGTCAGAAGGTTTGTGGTTCAAGCCACAAATCAAGACTGAACTCACATAGTCTAGGCTGATACTTCAGTACTGGGGGAGTGCTGCATTGTTGGAAGTTTCGGATGAGACATAAAGCCAAGGTCCTATCTGCTTGTTAAGGTGGGACATTGCCGTACATAAATTGGCTGCCTGAATTTGCCTACAAAAACTCACTACATTTTAAGCTAAATCCTGTGATGTGCTTTGAGAAGTTTTGATGACTTGAGATGTTATATCAAATACAATTCTTATAATAAGACAGTACCATATTTCCCCAAGTTACCCTAAGTCTACAACGGACTCTCTTTATGTGTACTCATGCATGAAGAATGGGCACGTGGGAAAGTATTGGATTGCAACTATGAACAGTTACCTTCTCATTTGAATTCAACTTAGGAAAGACAATTTTAAAAATTGAATATTATACCTATTAGAACTGCTTGGATGACAAGCACTGCTAATAATAATCCCTGCATTTGATATGGCACCAAATGCTGCTGAAACCCATATCCACAGCTTCATTATATCCTATCTGGACTTTGCGGATTCACTTCTCGATGGTTTCCCTACTGCATCATCCATAGTCTCCAATTTATCCCAAACTCTGCTGCCCACATCCTCACTTGCACCACACTTCATGCACCCATCACTCCAGTCGTCGTCAGACTTCACTGGAACTCTGTTTCCTA